ACTCGTTAAAACGTGTCCGTGCGTTCCAAATCGAATTAGAACTTGGAAGTGTTGGTTTTTAAGGAGAGGAGAAAACCGGAGCACCCGGAGAAAAACCTCTCGGAACAAGCGAGAGAACCAACAACGAACTCAACCCACATATGACGTTGACGCCAGGATTCAAACCTGGGCTACATTAGTGGCACTCGGGTGCTCTCACCACTGCGCGTTCGCCAGCCTTGTTCCTCAGCTGACAATAGCCTACGTTCGATATATCAACTCCAATGCTTTCTGGTTTGGTTTTCTTTGTGGTCAGGTCTCCTTTGGGAATTACCAGACTAACATCGTAAACATTTTGCAGTTTTTTTTCGGAAAGCCTCTTAGTCATATTAGAATTCTGATATATCGAACGTTGGCTTTTCAATAGAAGGTGCAGTTTATAGTAGAGCGGAAAACAAAAAAATGCTGAAAAAAATCCAGCGAAGACAACGTCATTTTATCTAAAACTACAACCATCCGAACTGTGACTTAAAATTGTTTTATAATAGAATATTGTATAAAATTTCTCTACTTTTGTGAGATTGCGAAACTTTGTGAGAGTAGGGTATTTTGTTCCTCCTTGACATTATCCCTCTTTCAGTCACGGTTATGGCAGATGGCAGGATATCGCTAATGATCGCAAGTTTGGGGTGGTCAATGATCCGTTCAAAAATGGTAAGTTGTTGGAGCAGCGTCTGTAATTAAATTAGCAGCCAAGAGTTGTCACAACTCACGTGCCTTTAATTTTAAGTGGTAAGGCTGTCATTAAGAGCCGAGGGGCGGGGACTCCCCCCGGCTGTTATGAACGTGGCCCCCGCCTAGTCGCATAGGAAAATTGAAGAAAAGTAGAACCAAAAGAAATCCCTAGCTGTTTGATTCCTTGCCTACTACTTATTGTATTTATCCGGCAACTTGAAATCTTAGTGACATCCCTGAAGGTGTACTGGTAATAGTTAAGGAATTGACTTTCAGCAAGTCGACTGCGTGAGTGCCGAAGTCGCGAGACTAGCAACGTAAGTTAAGAAACAAGTGGACTTCGTGATTGCCGAAGGCGCGAGGCGACGCGCGAGCGTCGTACGTTGAGAAAGTCTAAGGTAAGGAACAGTCAGTGAAGAGACGTTAGAATAAGTACGGCGCACGTTAACCAGTTTCAATTCAGACCACGCTAACATTACCACTAAAACAAGTACTTATCAACCCAGTCCAGACTTCTTTTGCTTATCTTATACCTTAGTTTGTTTCTATTGCAGTCTCTCTGGAGTACAAGAACCGCTTTATTGCGCGACGCTTTAAGGTTTGTTCTGCTGATATTGTTCCCAATTTTGTGTGTAGACATCAAACAGGTTTTCATCGTAAATTTCTGTGGGTTTCAGGGATAAATGACCAGTGACTGTGTGATATTAAAATCTGTACCTTATTAACAAAGATTGCTTTGGCAATTGGTCATAGGCAATTTAAAAGTATTGATCACTGGGGCATACGGAACTCGCTGCAATGATTTGCTTGAGGTACCGCCAAACAATAGCTTCCTAATGCCTAATGCCCAAAGCAACCTTTCTTGAGTCAGCGATATTCCCAAATCCTCAGTCTTAAGTCTGAGTTTTAAACCATCAAATTTAGCCCTCTGTCAGTGGCATTGCTTCCTTGTTTCCCCCTGTACATCTCTTTTATGCTAATTCAAGCACTGGTGTGGTCATAATTGAAACTAGAAATTCAGTTAAGGAATTAGAAACCTGAATTAAGCTCTTAGACTGGTTCGACAGAAGAAGACAGTGCAAACACTAAGTAATACCATCACAGTTCACAGCAAGTTGACGTTGATGTTATTGTAGCGCACTAGTGTGCTTTTCTTGTGTTGGCATAGTTCACACCTTGTGTTGGTTCGAGCATTTCGCAGTTGATTTGCGTGAGTTGCGCCCTTGTGAATTATGTGCTGTTTTGTTTTAAGTTGTTAGAACAAGCGCTTGTAATAGAAGAACAGCTGAGACGAGCCGATACCATGAAACTCAGGCAAGATGCCAACCACCCTGCCATGGCTTTAAATGCAAGGTAAGAATCAAACCAATCTGCTGGAACGGTGTTTTAGCACATTTTCTGAGAACTGAGATACAATGTGCGGGGATTTTAGCTAGATGTGTCGTCACAAAAAAACTCGCTAAACAACTCTCTACAACTTGGAGCCAATCCTTACAATGTTTGACAAACTCGACTGGCCCTTTTTGATACTACTTTGCCCTACTTGATTTGCGAAAGTTAAAGTAAGTCATATTTTTTGTCTTTGTTCGGTAGATTTGCGGAACTGGAGTGCTTGGCGGAAAGTCACCAACATTTGTCCAAGGAGTCGTTAGCTGGAAACAAACCTGCCAATGCTGTACTTCATAAAGGTAATCTTTCACACAGAACGTTTAGTAGCTTATCGCTTCAATAGCCTGTGAACAGGCTGTCTGTAAGGGGAGGGTGGAAAAAATGGGGACCATTAGAGGTACTTCTTGCTACACACGTTAAAGCGTTTGTACCTATTCATCACAATTAAAGTAGCGTCGTTCGGACTATAAGCCTGTGAATATTGACGCCTTTCATCGCTCCCCTCTTTTGGACGTTTTGTGAGAGAATTAAAAAAAAGTTAGGCCTGGTTTTAAACCTTTCTTGTGAAAGTGAATTTTATCTGCCTTTCGCTCGTGGTAATAAAAACGTTATTTAACATAGTGACCCTGTTGTATGATTAAAAGACAAAAAGTCACTTTATCACCAGTCCTAAATTGTTCAAAAGCTGTATAGGGACCTATAGCGCTACTGACAGGATAAATCGCTAACCAGTAGATACGTGTTAGGGAAACCGATTGTGATATCCTCTGGATGGTGATTTATCCAGTGGATAGGACTTGCCATCTTCTTAACTTCTCGGATGTACAGACGCAGATTTATCGTTGTTGTTTATGTCTGCAGTACTTAATCAGCTGGAGGAGTTGCTATCAGACATGAAGTCGGACGTCAATCGTCTTCCTTCGACACTAGTCCGAATGCCTCCCGTCACTGCTCGGCTTAACATGTCGGAGAGAGGAATCCTCAGCCGTCTAACGAAACGTGGTGAGGGACCACCACCCAATGTTACCATACCTGGAAACACCATCCAGCCCCCTTCCGTTCCAGGAATGGGTTCAGTTACTATCCAGCCAAAGGTCCAGCCCTTAGTGTTGGGCGGTGGCACTATCATGCCCCCTGTACAAATCAGAGCAGGACCCCTGCACTACACTACAAGCTCTGTGTACCGCGCTCCACCCGTGACAGGCAGCAATGCAACCATCACAGTCCAGCCTCCTCCACCAACTACTCTATTGCTTTCGGCCTCCACTGCTACATCAAGTCAGGCCAAGCCCGGGCTCGTGCAGAATATACCTAAACCAGGCTCTCCGATGATCAGTCATCACGTAAACTCACCCACCCCTACACAGTATGTCACTACTCTTCTTACCAAGCCCGCTGTGACTGCGGCATCCGCTGTACCACAAACAGCGTCGGCTCCTACCAGCTCTGGAGCCGTTCTTACTCCGGTCATCAATAGCGTTTACAGTTTGAGCACTGGCCAAACCGGAACCGAGTCTCCCCGCAGCGGTACACCCCCCGTTATCCAAGGCGGAATTGGTAAAATGCTGAGCAAGTCTGCCACAGCTCTGGTGGAAAATCAGATCACTTCCATAATACGTAGCAAGGCTTCAGCAATGGGTCTTATAAGGCCAGATACCTCATCTGGCCCCAGTTCTCCCTCGGAAACGCAAGCAGCTTCGCCAGGACAAGGTCAAAGTACGCCCCAGGCCCCTCAGGAGGAACCCAGCCAGTCGCATACTGTGAAAACTGGGGATACCACTAAGGACAAAGATCCTGATGTGATTTGTTTGGACTAATTTTAATGGTGTCCTAAGAAAACCGAAACACTTGCTTGACTGGTTCTGGTTATAGTTCCTGTTAAAAACCTGCTGCATGACACGTGACTACCGTAGAACTGAACATTTTTAGGCACCTTTTAAGTGCGCTGTAAAGGCTTATTACTGTCCTGTCAACTAAGTCAAAATTATCCAAAAAATTCATTTGTACATTTATAAAATATCTTATTGCTGTTGGTTTGAATATTCGATGTGAACTAAATCTTTTTCTTTTTTCGTCTGTGGGAGAGAGGGGCTGAGATGAAATTGTAAAGCTGATGTAACTTATGTGGAGTTCAGCTAATATATGAGCAACAACTAAACACCCACTTTTTAGAAAAGAAATATCTTTGCTCTTGAGTTCTCTCATTTGCCAAGAGCAACTGTATCCGTAATTTTTTGTTGAATCAGAAATTTCGTTCGAAAAAGCGGAATACTGTTTCTGTCTTAATTCATACACATTCAATTTTATTACTGTTTTTCGCGTTGTGAACGTCTTGATAAACCCTTAACAGAAAGATGTATTTTTTTAAATAGTATTGTGTCTCAAGGGAATTGGCGTCTGTCCCCATCCAGTCCTCTTTGAAAACGGTGCAATCACCGCTGATTTTTTGCAATCTGGCCGGAGTTAAACCACTATGGCAGCCAAAACGTCTTTTTAAGAGCGAGTCTCTTGTAAGAACGGACCAGAGATTTCAGATCAAAAAATTAATCTCTCTTATATTCTAAGATTTTATTTTTCGGTAATTACAAAATGCATTTCGACGAACAACCAATGAACCGCAAAATTATAGAAAATGGCCATGAAGTGAGCCCAGGTTGCACAGATAAAGCAATAAAGAAAATCCAGTTTAAGGTAAGCCGAGTTTATTTCTACATCTGACGGCTATAGAAAGTGACTCACTAGTTCGTAACAAGTACAGTATCAAAACATACATGTGCACCCAGCTTGGGTTAATAGTGCCATTTGGACAACACAAGAAAAACGGCGTTTGGCCTAAACTTCAACGCAGGCTGCCACATGCAGCCCGCTTAACAAGTAAGTTAACATTTTGCTTATTTAACTCTAATCTAAATATTGCCATAAACAAATAAATTAAGGTACTAATTTTTATCATATTGGTGACCCTCTTGACCGTTTGTTTTCTGACTCGACCCCAGTTGCCACTCGGCCTCCTATGGAGCGTTTTCACACGACGTCAGGGCTTCAGGGCGGAAAAACGTTCTGCGCAAGCTTCTGCGCATCCCTTACCGCAGGCTCAAGGCGCGCTTTTCTGTGTGTTGACTGTGTTTGTTGGTGGAGTTCTGAGTGAAATGCACGAGGTGCGAACGGTTGCTCCCTGTAAAGCATTTTTATTTGACATGTTTGCTTTTTTTCGTCGCTTGAAAATTACTTTGGATTCAGAACAATCAATGTTAAAGGAAAAATGGATCATTCCGTCAGTCTGAGGTGGAATAAAAGGTTTTGAACATTTTTAAAGAGGCGAGTATTTTTTCTAATTGTGCATCCGATTAATTTATGAGTTGATTTCTCCGGGTTGAATTAAAATCCGCTTGTATTCTGTTATTAGTAGTTACGGTTACTTTTTTTACACACCCAGATTTATTACCTTTGCAGAACCAGCTTTATCTTTGTCGTCAGTCAAAGAATCATATTGCTGTTATAACGCATCTGAGTGAACAAACTTGTGCGCTTATTAAACTTTCTCGGAAATAGAAGGCCAGCAAGCTTACTCAGGATCATTTTTCTGTTGCTCAAGTAATAGTAGTCAGAGTTTTTTCATTTTCATTACATTGTTTTGTTTTCCAGTGCACTGTAAAAGTTTCTGTTCTTTATAAGAATAACTTTCTGTACGCAAATTGTCCTTTTCACTCGCTGTGAAGTAGAGAACGACAACTGCCGGCAGTGACTTCAAAACAATTGACTCTTTTCCCGTAAACAACGGCTGCAGCTGGATTTGACTGAGGCGAGCAAAACAAACCCTTATATGCAATTTTCTGTATTTTCTAATGATCGGCTGAGTTTAATTTGCTTAAACGAAGACCCTCGCATGGACCAGTTAAGCTTAAAATAGCTAAATGGTGAATCATGGCTTGGCTGCCAAGTTGCAACTGATCTTTTGCTTTTAAGGTCTTTAGGTAGGTTGTTTTCGTACAGAAAATTCATTTCTTCATTGTCAGCAAGAAGTTTTTGAAATAATGTAACTTTAACTTTGTTTGAAGGAAATCCTACTAACGCGTAGGTTTTTGACAGATGTTATGCGTGTTCAACTTGACAACACAAAGCAAAATTTATATATCTGCGCGAAATGAGCAAATTTAAAAAACTATAGTTGCTTTGAAACCGATTTTTGGGAAGATTTTACTAGATAAAGATTGACCTTTTTCTGCCCACATAAAGGCAACGCAATAACTTCTACATTGAGGATTTTGTTTATATTTTAGTGATCTGCGAAACTACGAGTGTCCGATCGAGCGAGGGTTTTAAAATATCAGCTCGAGTGCGACAAAGTTCAGTGACTTCAAACACATTGTGGGCAAGCGTTAATTTTTTTGGGCAAATCACTGTTCAAAGATATGTTGTTTTTGTGTCCACAGTGGAGCTCCGGACCTTATATATCCAGGAACTTCCTTATATGAGCACATTTTGTGAATGCATCTCGAAAAAAATCGGACCTACGCATGCACATTTCCAGTACAACGCAAGGAAATCAATGTCGTTAAAGTCCGTTTTACTATGAGGTATTCTTCGAGAAAATTAAGTAACGACAAGGTTATAACCACAGCTTGCAACTTTTGAAGACAAATTGCCTGTTCTTTCCAGGTTATGAGTGGAAACATTTTATTTTTAGGCAATAAATTATTTGAAATCCCGCCATTTTTTCAAACTCGGCCAGGGGATCTGGGCAAAAAAGTTCGCGCATGCTCATTACGTTTTTCCGCCCTGAACGTCAGGGCGGCCATACAGTGAAATGGCGGCCATTTTGGTGTTCCAAACAAATCCTGTAGGAGTTGAACTCTTTTCTTATGTAAACACTTTCTTTTGTTTCGTCGTTGTCGCTTGAGCTCCCCAATATTAACGAGTGAAGCGCATTCAAGGGAAGCAACCATCCCATGATCCTCTTCGCACCCCATGCCGTAATAGTCTCCCGCAACCGTTCCTTGGCCCCTTACAAATAATAAGAGACGACTGGGGATGAGTCAGGTGTGTTTGGTGGACTCGTGTTAAGGCACCCCACGGCCACGCCCATTGAGCTAAAACGCGCTCCGTTCTCCAAATTGGCGCCCATCCCCGTCGGCAAGTCTTGCAAATAAGCAGTCTATCCCTAAGAAACGCTCTGCCCTCCTACTACCCCTCACTTTTCCATATGTTAAGGATTTCGCATCCTTTGTTAATTCAATCGTCTTAGTATCTTTTCAGGAAGTGTCGGTTGTGTGGACGCGCAATCTTAATGAGCGCGCGCTCACAAGTTAAAACAAGCAAAACAACTGAAGTTAAAAAGCGATGTTGCGCAGTTTACCACCACGTTCAAACCTGTTAACAGCCTAATTTGTTGCAAGACAGGTTTGATGTGGGTGGCAAAACGCGCGATATCACTATTCAACTTGTACAGCAATGTTGCAAGACAAGTTGCGCGTTTTTTGTTGCCCGTTTTTACGCACCTTTACTTATTTAATTGACGTGTGCATTTAGTTCGTTATTGAACGCATTACATTTGCTTTGGGTTGTTTTCCTACTCATACACATTGTCGGTAATTGTACTGAAATTGTGGGTGGCTCCTCGTAAAATGTTCTACAATGATTGGTATGCAGGAGTTAATGAAGACGAAACCAATTGTGGAATTGCACACATTTTGGCATTTTACTGAAGAACAGTTACGACTTATAGATATTTCAAGTAACAACAATTTGCCGTCTGCCCTGTTAGAATTTCCTTGCTCCCCTTTAGTTAATAACACATATAACCCTTAAAGCCCCAATATCCACATTCAATTTATTTGTACTGATCTCAATACATTTCCTTAAAAAATAAGTTGTGATAATTTGATACAAGATCAACGCATCTTTCCATCTAGTGGTCATGGAATTAATTCTCATGATCATTTCTTTCCATCCTGTTTTGACATTGTTAGAAGAAACTTGATGTTGATCACTTTCGGGACCTAAAGGGTGGAATCTTACAGATTTTGAGAGATGTTAAGGAACACAAGAAGTTGAGTTGAACGCGGTTTATTTATTGCTTCTTTACAGCTCGTAGAACTCTACTAGTTGAGTCTTCAGATGAGATCCTTAAGTGAATCAAGTTTAGCTTACAAAGCGGTTGTATTTATACTGATCTGAACAATAAAGTTAATCGGTTTTTAGCAAGGCTACGTAGTATTCATATGCAGAAAGTAGGTGTTAAAGCAAGGCCGCTTTACACGGCACGATTTTTGCTTAAGACTATCGTGCGCGACTAGCATACGTCATGACTTCACGACACATCGTGTTGTGTTCATGCACACAACATTCGTACGACACATGTGGATGTCATAAGTGATGAGTATACTAGTCGCGCACGATATTCGTAAGCAAAAATCGTACCGTCTAAATCGGCCTTAGGAGGTGCTAGACCTGATAGAATAAAAGAAACCGAAATTTAGTTGAATTCAGCTGCGAGTGGAAAAAGTGGGCAAAATTGGAGATATCTCTATATCCAAATTCCTATCCAAGAAACTAAAACAATGGTTTGAAAGAAACCTCATTTTCCTAAGATTCTGTCGAAAGAACGTTTAGTTTGAAATTAGGAAAGTAAGTAAAATTTAGCTGAAAATGGCCCAACTGAGAACAAAGAACTCAAAAGGTGTTGGGTCACGTGGCACTAAGCTACATTTAATGAGGTATGTAAGGCTGATTATTATTCCAGTTTGGAAGCAAAAGTGAGAACTAATTTCAGTTTTAAGCAAACGGACTTCGTTTCGAAAATTGCTTAATATTTTCC